GGGTGCAGGGTCTGCTGGCGGGGTGCTGGCAGGCTTGCACCTGGCACGGGCACCGTAGCCAGCCCGTGCCCCTGTAAGGGCTCCGGGGCCGGGAGGGGGGCAGACGAGTTTCCCTGGTGGTGCCCAGAGTGGCCACCAGGGAAAGCTGGGGAGGGCTAGCCTCCCACTAGTTCGAATTAAGTGGCTACACAGCCCTTAATTCAAACTGCTTAATTCGAACTAGGCATTAGTCCTCGTGGAATGAGGTTTACCTAGTTCGAATTAAGCGCTCCGCTAGTTCAAATTAAGTTCGAACTAGCGGTTTGTATGTGTAGTGCCTATCAAAGTTAATTCGAACTAACGTCTGTTAGTTCGAATTAACTTTGTAGTGTAGACATACCCCAAGTTATTTTATCATGATTGAAAGCGATTTTGAGATACTGACAAATACATCTGAGGCCATATTATCACAGAATCATAGAATACTAGAAATGGAAGGGACCTCAGGAAGCCAGCAAGTCCAGTCCCCTGCTCTCACAATAGGAACAAACACCATCTAGGGCGGGCTATCCCTGGGAGATGTTCCACGAGGAGTAACAGTAGTTCAGAATAGGAAGCCTAGTCCGAACTACCTAGTCCGTGCCGCGTGTAGCCGCACGGCACGGAGTCCGCACTAGCGGACATTTAAAAATGGCGGCGCCCGGCGAGATGCAAATGAAGCCCGGGAAATTCAAATCCCGGGCTTCATTTGCAACTCCGGTTGCTTACATTACCACTCTAGTTCGAACTTGGGTGGTAGTGTAGACATACCCTGTCTTAACAGAAGCTTTCTCTCTGAGGGTATGTCTACACTACCCCGCTAGTTCGAACTAGCGGGGGTAATGTAGTCATCCGCAATTGCAAATGAAGCCCGGGATTTGAATTTCCCGGGCTTCATATGCATGAAGCTGGCCGGCACCATTTTTAAATGCCGGCTAGTTCGAACCCCGTGCCGCGCGGCTACACGCGGCACGGAGTAGCTAGTTCGGATTAGGCTTCTTAATCCGAACTAGCTGTACTCCTCATTCCACAAGGAGTACAGCTAGTTTGGATTAGAAGCTTAATCCGAACTAGCTACTCCGTGCCGCGTGTAGCCGCGCGGCACGGGGTTCGAACTAGCCGGCATTTAAAAATGGTGCCGGCCGGCTTCATGCATATGAAGCCCGGGAAATTCAAATCCCGGGCTTCATTTGCAACTCCGGTTGCTTACATTACCACTCTAGTTCGAACTTGGGTGGTAGTGTAGACATACCCTGTCTTAACAGAAGCTTTCTCTCTGAGGGTATGTCTACACTACCCCGCTAGTTCGAACTAGCGGGGTAGTGTAGACATACCCTGAGGGTATGTCTACACTAGCCCCCCAGTTCGAACTAATGTAGTTTAATGTAGGCATTCAGAGTTGCAAATCAAGCCCGGGATTTAAATATCCCGCGATTGATTTGAATGTTCCCGGCCGGTCGCCATTTTTGAAACTTACAAGCAGGGAAACAGGCATTTAAAATAAAGCCCCTAAATCGAACTACCTGTTATTCCCCCTGCAATGAGGTTTAACAGGTACTTTGATTTAAGGCTTTATTTTGAATGCCCGTTTCCCTGCCGTGTGTATATGCGGGCAGTTAGTCTGGGCTTGTAAATTTAAAAAATGGCAACCGGCCGGGAACATGCAACTCAAGCATGGGATATTTAAATCCCGGGCTTGATTTGCAATTCTGAATGCCTACATAAGCCTCCCTAGTTCAAAGTAGGGGGCTAGTGTAGACATATCCTCAGATTGTCTCAGTTCCAGGAAATGCTATATTTGGGGGCCTATTAAAATTCATTTCAGGGATCTCTGTATGGATTAAAGTCACTGGGACAGTGTGAACAGCGCACCTAAAGTCAAAACCAGGAACAATCTTTTACCATGCAAAAGACCTCATTTATCTTCCTTTATTTCTCTTTATAGATGATGATTATCCGTGGTGTAGTATGTGCAGTCATTTTTATGGTAATTATAAGTAAGTAATTCATTTTTATTTACAATCTCAATAGCTCTGTGATTTCCAATGCCCTCATATCAAAAAGTAAATAAAACATTTAGGAAGATAGCTTGACTGTGACTATCCCCTTCAAGTGTCTTGCTGCTTAAGGATATATAAATATCTGAGTTTTAATGTCACCCATTCTGTTATATTACTGAGTTTCCTCAGTATAAATCTCAACTTCTCAGGCTTAGGTCTGTCTGTATGTTTGCTTGTGTCACACTTCCAAATGATCAATAAACATGAGTTAGGTGCATGATGTAATGGCTGAGTTATATAAAAGCTGGTACCAATGTGACTCAAAATGATTTTGGGGTTTCGTAATTGTGAAGCTCCAAGAATGGAATGGTAGCACAGATGGCTTAGTCATGACAAGTACATACCCAGTAGTTTCAGTGGGTTTGTACTTGGCACACCTAAGCTATGCCTTTGCTATCATGCCTACATTGTTACAGGCAGTCCCCGAGTTACGCGGATCCGACTTACGTCGGATCCGCAGTTACGAACGGGGCACTTCCTCTCCCTGGTCTCGAGCAGACCAGGGAGAGGAAGCAAAGCGGCGGCGGAATGCGCGGCCAGCTGACAGCCCAGACACGTCTGGGCTGTCAGCTGGCCGCATGTTCCGCCGATTTGCTTCCTCTCCCTGGTCTGCTCGAGACCAGGGAGAGGAAGGGGCCCGGTCGTAACTGC